TCTCTCTCCCTCTGTCTTTTCTCCTTGTTATTTCTCTTGGTTCTCTCTCTCTCTCTCTCTCTCTCTCTCTCTCTCTCTCTTTCTCTCTTATAGTTTCTCTTTAAAAAAGTTTACCGACCGTCACGAGAATCTCGTTGTAACGTAAACAATATATTATCGCGAACGCACAGAAGAACATATCCGATAGGCCATGTTTGAACGGGTCCTTCATGGGACTCCTCTCACCATTGAACAAAAAGAATCAACGTTCACATCCTTTCATACCCCTTTTCACGGCGTCTTTTCCTTTTTTTTCTTTTCTTTATTTTTATTTCTCAATCTTTTTTTTTGTTTTTACTAACATGGAAGAGCGTTTAAAAGCACCCCTTCTTAATAGTCGAGCATTGACGTTGGAAGGTCTCCGTACATTTCTTATTAGATGTCAAAATGTGACTCGAAATACCCGTAGATCGGACAGACGTGTATGCAACTGTGTATACGTGAACGTACGTATATATGTATGTATGAATATTTTGTGTGTGTTGTGTATGTGTGTAGTAGTCTTTTCCTTTCAAGCTATAAACGAAACTAGCTTTTGTGAAGGTGGTGGTAACGTTTGCGCGCAAGTAAAAACTTAGTATACGTGTTACCTTTGTGTGTGTGTGTGTCTTTCTCTCTCTCTCTCTTTTTAACTCATGCATATATTTTTCTCTTTCAGATTTTCAATACACAGGTTGTTGATGTGTTGGGAAAGGTAAAACAACACATGTGTACCAACCCTTTTTTCTTTTCTTTTCTTCTTTCTTATTTGCTTATTTGCATACCACACTTGCACACATACACACATACACTCTCACTCATATACGCAGAAAAGAGATTCGCATATATGGAGTCAACAAAACGATGCTGACGATCATGATAATAATAATAATAATAATGATGATGATAATGATGATGAGGATGATGATGATAGTGATAATGACGAAAACAAGGATGATGATTTTTTTCGCACATGTACAGAATAAAAGATCTTTTGCATGACTCGATACAAGTCTCTTTTCTCGCAACCCTAACACACGCTACTACTACTACTACACCATAGAATACAATTTAGAACGCAACTTACTCTCGCGTTTATTTTCTTTTTTTTTTCTTTTTTTCTGCTTCTCTGTCTCCTACTATTTGATTTTTTTTTTCATATGCATACGTATACACACACGTACATTTCTTTTCCTCCTTTCTACTTCGAAATTTCGTTTCTTGCCCGTACTAACTCAGTAGGTACTACAGTTTTTTTTTTCGGTCAAAGATCATGTGAGAAAATAATTTTAAACGTGCACTTTTTTGTCGATCCCATTCTTTTTTTTTGAACTATTCCTTTATTTTGAATAATAAATCGTTTATTTGACAAAATTTGTATATTCGCGTTCTCTTCGAGAGAGAGAGAAAGAGAGGAGAGAGAGAGAGAGAGAGAGAGAGAGAGAGAGAGAGAGAGAGAGAGAGAGAGAGGGAGAGAGAGAAGAGTTTTTATATAGAATAATTTCAAAAGAATTGGAAGAACATTTAGACGGAATTGACCAAAAGTGCACCCTTAAAATTTAAACTCGTTCGAGAGATTGCACATTTTCTATGCGCTTTTGTGTTTTGTTTTGTTTGTTTGTTTGCTGGTTTCCTAGCCTACGGCACCGACGATTGATGACAGAACGAAAAGATTGAAACAAATCGTAATGTCAAAAATATGTATTATTATCGATAATAATTAAATTGGCATTAGACGTTCCTTCTTTATTATGGCACGTTGTCTCTTTTCCCCTTTTTTCTTACTTTTTCTTTCTTTTCCTTTTTTATTTTTGTTTTTTTTTTAATTATTTATTTACTCGTGTCAGCGCGACGCGTTTACAGCTCTCATCGTTTTAAATTCAGTCGAGTAAACGAACAAAAAGGAAACATTTTTTATATCGTTTTAATTATTTATTTATTTATTAATTAATTGGTTTTTTTTTCTCAATCTCACTCTCTCTCTTCTATCCTTTTTTCCCTCTCACACATTATATTCTATATATATATACCTCTTTCTTTCTCTCTCTCTCTCTTTCATCATTCTTTTTCTCGTCAACTTGCATGCCTACTACCACCGGGTGCATCATTTCTTCCCCCTTCCCCCTTCCACCCACTTCTCACCCTCACTTGTCGTACAATTTTGTTCTCAATCGAGTCTCCAACTCCCATTGCACTTTCCCATTTGTCCCAACAAATGCACCGTAAGTCGTAATCACTTTTATATTATGTACAAAGAAAAATCCATTTCTTTTTTTTTCTCTTTTTTTTTCTTCTTTTTTTTTGTCATTTTATCTTTTCTCAATTTCTTTTTAACGAATGCATCCAACGCACGAGAAGAGAAATATCTCTTACTAGTTTTGCTTTGTTGTTTTTTTTTTCTTCTTTTTTTCTTTTTTGTAATTTTTCTCAACCCTCGTATCGCTAATTTTATTGTATTTTTCTTAATTAATTATTTATCGTTATTTTAATGAATTTTTCATTTCTTGACAGGGCAAGAAAATTTTCAATCAGATTGCACCGAGAGATTAGCGAAACAAAAAGGAAAGATCGTTCCTGCGATTTACACAATTATAAATATTATTATTAGAAAGAAAAAAAACACAAATGACTAATTGAAAGAAAATTCTTATGAAGTGGGAACTTCGTTGGCTGATCATGTTATTCATTGTTTTCTTTGTTTTAATTATTCCGAATTACGCTAGGATTTTATTCGGATTTTAAACTCTATGCTACAGAAACAGGGCGGGGCTGACGTATGTACGAAAATGATGAACATTATAATTTTTTCTTAATTTACGTGTCTAATACTTTTCTACACGAGATCTAGTAAATATTTTACTTAAACGATTTTTTCGATAGATAAAAAGAAATATTCTATATATATTCGTAAAACAATTATGTCGTAATTAAATTCTATCGAGATCAGCCTATTCCCAATTCCCATTGAATTTATAATGACATCATAATATATACGATGATCGTTCGATACAGGTGAAAATTTTTGGTACATTATTGATATCAATCAATCCTTTTATTACTTAGCGACCCATATAGGGATCGTTCATGCAAAGACTCTATATGAACTACTGACCCATATAGGGTTCGTATCATGTAAGGGCTCCGTATGAACTACTGGCCTATATATAAGGGTCGTAAATCCCATAACAAAAGGTTTTACTTAAATCGGAAAACCACCATTAATATTAATTTGTTCAAACAATTATTTTGTTGTTTCCTTTCTTTCTTCCTTTATTTCTCGTTTACTACTTTCTTCACATGCCACACGCATCATCGAGAAAAGAAAAACGCAATGGTGTATAAAAATATAAAATAAAAACGATAGCGCGCAATATTTTTAGGGATAATTCAAATGGAAACATATTAATAATATCGTACTTTGTTTTTTTTTCTTTCTTTTCTTTCCTTCGCATAACAATAAAAATATATATATCAACGACGCGCGTCAAAGAAGTGGACACTAAAAAATAAACAGAAAAAATAGACAACACATTAATTAGAACTTAACGTTTTAACTTTCTCTCTTTATCTTCTTTTTTTTTTTTCCTCATGCTATTCATAACCACGCACACATGTACACAAACACGTCATACAATTAACTTTCGTACAATCGTAATAATAATTTTGATCGATAAAAGTGTACGCTTAAAAATCTTTGATACAACTACAGTCGTATTACGTTCAAACGCAAAAATTTTTTAACTAATAATAATAGTAGTAATAATAATTGTAATAATGATACTATAATAAGATTGGTAATAATAAAGATAATAATAATTAATA